AAAAAAATTTTTTTCTTATGACGCTAATGTATGTATTATTATTCCGATTTTGGTAAAGTCGGTCATTTTTGCTAGGTGAGTGTACATAACAAACTAAAGTAAATTACTTATTATTTTGCATTATATTATTTCCTTCATATTGACGACGGAGTCTAATCAGTAATCTTTATATGCCAGCTCATCAACCTGAGAAAGTCTTTTCTGCTTCATATTTTGTTTTGCTACAACCCCGTGATGATCAAAGTGAAATCCACTGAAAGGAAAGTTCGATTAACATTTATGTATGAAAACAAGGTGATCATTGAATAGCAACTAACTTTACTTACTTCACTTGCAAAGCAAGAAAACTCTGTGGCTAACTTACATTTACATTCAAGATCCAAGAATCGAATTAATCATCCATAAGAATCACGTTAAGTATATTTGATTGCATTATGGCTACTTTTGAGGATTTTAATGTTCAGATGAAATGCCAATTGTAACGATAACTAATATAATTTATTCAGGATTAGTTTTGCTTATCAAATAATGATTCTGCAGCATTGTGAATGTGTACCAGAATTTGTGCAATACCCTTATCACTTAAATGTGTCACCAAGACTGGGATTTTTTATATATAGATACAATAACCTAAAAAACTGTATCTGTGGCTTCCATCAAGCTCAATCTCTACTTCTAAATGTGTTGATTTATCATTACACTTGCGTGATTAACCACTATAGGAAGGAAGAACGAAATGTATTCTCGTGCTGTAGCCTCATTTATCATGAATTCGTTGTGAAAAATGTTCATCTTCACCTGAAGGCAGAGTTGACCGTTTGGCTGAGGTTTGGACATTGGCCATTTGGCCAATTTGGCCAGTCAAAAATGGCTAAAAAAATTTTTGACCGCGGCCAAATGCCAATCAAATTCTAATAAGTATTAATACATTTATTAATATCTAATTATTTGGCCAAAAATTTTCTTGGCCGTGACCAAAATGTACACACTGCTTGAAGAAAATCTTCAAAACGTTTTAAATCATCAAAAGAAAAAATTGAATGTCGTATGGTTTGACTTCTCGAAGTTTATTAAACCCTCTTTTGGTATCGTGACAACAGGTTGTTCTTGGCGTTTCATCCGATGGAATGGAACATAAAAATCCCCAAAAGTAGATGTGATTTTGAAAATGATATGAAAAAAGAAAAAAAATATGGTCTCCTATATTGTGCGAATTCTACAAGCACAAGCTAAATCATCGAAAAAGGATGTTATCATTGACAATATAATTTCTGTATCTTTAATAACTTTGTGACGTAATACCAAAAGAAAAAAAATAGGAGCGAAACAATGAAAACAAGAAAAGGAATAAAGAGGGTTTGTTAATAATGGATGCAATCCTTGTATAAGAATCGTTATTGGATAAATAATCACGTTACTAATTTATCATGCACTAAAAATGGGGTGGTGTTCGATCACGATTTTTTGGCCAGAATTACGGAATTAAGTTATAGTCCCCGTGACAAATAATGTGATAAATAAGGAACCCAGAATACCTAATAAAAAAAAACCAGAGGTGTTACATAGCGTGACAAATATGTTTGTGAGTCCCGTGATAGAACATGGCTTATTTCCTAAATAAATTCTCGTTAAAATTACATATATGAAAAGTTTATCAATTTCATTATCTATCAATTTAAACTTTATTCTAGTATTCGGATGGATCAAAAAAGGTAATCTTTTCATTCATAATTAATATACTCTAAAATAAGCTTGATTTGACATTTTAAAATCTAAATATCGGGCAGAAAAGAAAAGAAAAAAAACTTGAATTATTCCACAAATTGATTAATGTGATCTGATATTTATGCAGGCAGGTTTCAATATAATTTATGCTGTTATGTAAAAGGAAATACTTGATGAAGGTCATTATGTCCAAAAATAATTCTACAAAAAAAAAATAAAATAAAAAAAATAAATAAATCAAATATCCAATTCTTCCTCCGTTTCTTTACCTTCACGATAAGTGAATTTGATTCGTTTAACCTCTTGAGTAAAAGTAAAACTATGCCTTTGTTTTTTCTTCTTTCTGTTGTTACTCATTTGTTTATATCCATTCTTAATGTTAATGTAATCATCTGAACTCGATGACGATTCATCATTTATATTGACGGCCTAAAAAACATTAGTATAATCAAAAAGTTAAACTTTGTAAAACATAAAAAAAAAAAATAACCAGATATTCAAGATAACAAATTTACCCTTTCCGAAGTTACACTATAAAATAAATTCAAAAGATTAATGAGTTTTGCCAAGAAATTTACTTTAACACGAATATTAATAGTAATACCTCGATCTTGAAAACAATCGTTCTTCAGGACTAATTTCCGCACGTTTCTTTTTCTCGGTCGAAGGTCTCAAATATGAATCAAATCCACGGATAAGGTTTCCGCCAGAATGGGTCTCTTCCAAGTAAGAACCTTCAAAGTTCCAAATATTAGTCTCGATGGTTCTCTATGGATAAAATTGAATCATGATTCGATTTTTTTATTGCAACTTAAAAGGTTTTTAAAAGTATTGGTTTATTTTTTATTTATTATTTACCAGGTTTTTATCAGTTTGTTTTTTTCTAACCAACAATTCCTTAAGTTCTGCCTCCACTTCTTCTAGCTTTTGTCTTGTCACGACAGGAGACTAAAAAGAAAGCATTAAAGAAGAACTAAAAAAAAAAAAAAAGAAAAGAAAACGAAAAGCAATAACGTTTACTATATTATTAGTAGCAGGAGGTTCTTCCCCAACGTCTGGCATTTGAATTAAAAAAAAAATAAGAGGTGATAGTTTTTTTTCAATTAAACAATTTCATCGGATTATTTATATGAATTTAATTTGTCACGTTATTTCGTACTTCAGTATACATATAAATACTCTCGAAATTTCTTTTTTTTGCACACTTACATCGCAATGATTACCCCACTTTGCGGGAGAGGATATTTGAAAATGGATCAAATATTTTGGTATTTACATACCAAATATCCATTTCATGATACGATACGAATAGGCAAGATATGAGCGATGTATAAAAAAATTTATTTTTATTTTTTTTATTTTTTTTTTTTTTTTAAAAAAAAAAATTTGATAAAATTAAAAACAGTTATCATTGATAATTGATTATGAGAAACATTTTAACAAGGATAGTTGCACCTTAAAATTTATAGAATTAAAAAAAGGTTGTATGTAATAACTTTTAATAAATTTTACAAATGATAAAAATAATCGTTAACGATTTAAATTAAATGATTCGATGATTTTTTACAAATAAATATATTAAGGATTGTAGATTATAAATTTACATGCGTTGTATGTTTGTAATGGATGATAACAATTAAATGTAAATTATTAAGATATGAAATATTATATAAATAAAAATGAAGTTTGAATTTGTTAAAAAGAATGGCGAAGAGATCATAATAGATCTAAGATTTCTTTGACTAACCATTCCATTCTAATGGATGATTTCAATAGTCAAAAGATTAGGATGAAAATATAAGAATGTATGAAAAAATTATAAACCGATGAATTCATATGAAAGAAAAAAAGAAAGAAAGGATGCAAATATTTTTCATAAATATCATTTTCCGCAATCTCGTTTAAAATATTTCCATCAATTTTGGAAACTACTTGCTGATAAACTGATTTCGGTAATAAAACATTCGACTACGAATAATTTGTTCAGAACACGTTTCTAATTAACCTAATCGAGTTGTAGTAAAAATCGTCCTCTCTGTTCTATCGTTCGAATTATTGTTTACAGTAACAAAAACACGATGATTAGTCTCCAGGATATTATCATTAATTATAATGGAATCATTCTCACTAAGGTAAGGTGATTGAGTGGTGGATGAATCATGATCACTATTATAAAAATTATCAAGCTGTAAACATGAAATAGCGGCACTCAAGGTGTTAGAATATGGTGACTGATCCATTTGAGAAGGAGGAAAATCCTCGTTTGGGTCGAAAAAGTAAGGACCAAAGCGAGATTCAGTATAAGATGGATAAGAAATATTCTCGGGGAAATCTTCCTGCGAGATATGAGGAAAAGATGAAATCGATATAGGGATGATAACCTCATGAAATTGCATCTTGGTAAGCAGTTTTCCCATCTCGGCTTGTATCACGCATCGTAGAGTGTAATATACGCGTAAATGACGACCAGAAAATGTTGGTGGTACATGATGAAATTTTCTGGGTATGATGAAGGAGAATTCCAACTCTCCCGTTTTTTGATTTGTTACACCAATATCACATCGCCTTTCTGTGGAGACAAGTGAACGTTCATGTTTTTCGCAAACTAACTCTTTGTCCAAAGGGCCTTCATAATGCTTACGTAAGGAACATTGGACACAAGTAATACGCCCGTTAGAATGGTTGGTTACTCGCAGCGCGAGTTTTAATTCTTCACCTAAGAAATAATAAAGCGATTTGTTGGTGACATAATCAAAATCATTACAAAAGTCCATTTACAAGATAAATAATTAATTACCAGGTGAAAATACATGTCTAGGTAAGGTTGCTTCAACTTCCACCAACATTTTCCTCGGTTTTTTGTCGTTATACAATACATCCTTAAAATTCCATACTTGATCTGGTGGAGCAAAAGATATAGGAATGAAAGGGGTAACTATCTCTGGACCTTCGATTACAGTCCCACCGGCTGCTTCTATTACCGGCTGCCATACATACCGGATTGAATTTCCTTTCGGTCCCTGATAAATATGATATCAAGTCAACTTAATATTTGATAAAATCTATCCAACTTTACAGATCAGAATTAAATTAATATATAAAAACCTCTATAGAGGGGGGTAGATTCACTGGTGGCAGCTAATAAAGTAGAGAAAATTGGTAAATAACAAAGTATATTATTCATAGATAATTTAACACAACAATCGAGAAACAAATTTTACCTTTAGAGCAAATTGAAAACTGTACGTTCCTGGAAGAAGTTCTTTCCAAGGAAAATATTCATTGGCTGTGTAGAATAGTTTGATTTAAATTTTTTTTTTTTTTTTTAAAAAAAAAAAGGGAGACAAAAGACGTTTTTAAATCTTAATTACCTCTTTGTTGGCCGTGATTTCCGCCGCTCCAAACCACGTAATTACATTCGAAATAAATAGTTCGCGCGGTCTCCACACGTTTCGCTGATCCGGAAGCCGACCCGTAATCTTTTGCTTTGGTTGATGCGGTCTCTTCACCTTGTGTATCAAAAAAGAAGTAATTTATGAATTGTACAATAAAGAGAAAGTAAATTTATTGACAGTTACCTCGAAATTTAATTTTGATTGACGATGCAAATAATGTCCTGCTATTATCTGAGATCGTCAAAATTACCGAACCTTTAAAATTGTTAAATCTGCATAAATTTTTATCATGGCATAAGGGGAAAAAAAATATCGGTTAAATGAATCACATACCTCTAACAACTTGAGTGGGTCGTAATGTTAATGTCCTACCTACCTCAAACTCCACGTTCAACTGTGGTAAGTTAGAGGACGTTGATTGTTTATCCTCATGACTTCCAATCGAACCTAATCTTAAAATTCTTGACATAAGTAATCGTAAACTTGCACCTTTACTCTTAGAAGCAAGGCACCCTTTTTTTTTTGTTTTTATTTTTATTTGTTGAGTAAATCCAACTGATGTTATGAAGCACGAAACCCACTACTACGTAAGCCACCTTCTGACTCGATGTCGGTTAACTTGACAAGTAAAGGGGAATGTGGAATAAAAAAATTTTAGTATCAGAGTTATAACCATACTTTCTTACCATATATATTCAACATATTTATTTGTTATTAGTCTAACATCATTTAAGTTAGTGCGACATACGTGATTCTGTAGATACCGAGAAAATAAATAGAAGCGGAGATGTAAAAATAGTATATATACTTTTAAAATATTTAATAAGCTTTGACACGTTTCAATTTGAAATTACATGCCGATCCATATTTTTTTTTAAGAAATATAGCAGATTTATTATGCAAACGTGATAAACTAGCTTTTTTAAATGCATGAAAAATGTAAATGGTGATTTTTTTTTTTGTTTATATTAGGTTAAATAAATGTTATCAATAATTGAACGAAAATGAGAAATTTTGATGTTTAAAAAAGCACATCTTTTCCCCAATTATTCTTTGGCGGCACAGAAAATCATTTCCAATCTCATAACCGAAAAAAAATGTTTGACTACATTAAAATGCGTTTATTCTGACCCAATTATGTGAAAATATTCTCAGAGCCAACTTCTTTTGCATCCATCCCCTTTTTCTTTCTCATTTTCGCACTTTCTTAGTGATATACCCTTGTTCATTTTTTTCATTTATTTATTTTTTTTTGTTTATTAATTTAATTAAGTGTCAATAGTTCCCATTCATTCATTATATCATTCTCAAGTATATCATTTGGGGAACACTTGCGGTCTGCTCGAGGTAATCGAAAAACTAAAAATGAGCGGTTCAAGTACAACGACTCTTACGGTTCTATCCCTAAATTGCTGGTATTGTATCTCTGTTAAAAGTTCGTCGATGTAATTCTTCGTCTTTTATGTGTTTGTCTAAGTCTTTATTATCCTTAGGGGTTTGAGATTTATTTCCAAGAAAGTCGATCAACGTATGGAAGCTATTGCGGACAATTTGGCTCATTCCGACTACGAGATCGTTTGTTTGCAAGAAGTTTGGGTATATCGTAATTTCGAAGCCATTAAACAGAAAACAAAAAAACGTTTCCCCTATTCAAGGTTTTATAGCAGGTAAAGTAACAAAAAGTCACGTCCTACCTCTTCATTTTCAAACATCCAGATTTACCCGGATATATATTACTAGAATTAGTTCAATTTTGGCCGGAATTATAAAATTAAAGTCATGTGCATTTTTAAAAGTGGTGTATTTGGCACAGGTCTTGTCATCCTTTCAAGATACCCGATAGTCGAAATATCCTTTCATAGATATCGTTTGAACGGTCGTCCCATTAAATTTACTCATGGGGATTGGTATGTTGGTAAAGGTGTGGCCAGCGCTGTTGTTGACCATCCCGTGGCTGGATTGATTGAAGTTTTTAATACCCACGTAAGGCGAATCACGATTCAATTACGATCTTATTATTTTATCGCCTTGCTTAATTAATAATGCGATATATTTTCGATATTTTCAGACTCACGCTGGATACGGTTCAAAGAAGGATGATATATATTTGGCCCATCGAGTTTCACAAGGTTGGGAGATGTCTTCCTTATTAAAAGCTTCAGCTTCGAGGGGTCGTAACGTAATCGCCGTGAGTAAAATATATCATTATAATCGTTATATCTTGAAATCATTCAAACCTTTTTTTTTTTTCATTATTTTAGATTGGTGATTTCAACAGTCATCCGGAATCTTTGGTACATAAATTAATCACCACACATGGTCAAATGACAGATGCTTGGCAATCTCAGGTTCCATCATCTCCATCGAGCGTGTCCTCCACTTCAATCCATCAACAAACATCGGTTCCGTTCGATCCACAGAATTCCATCATTCAAAAAGGTTACACCAGCAATTCCCCACTAAACACTTGGTCAAAGATTACCATCAAACAGGCCGAACGAGATCTTTACGCGGGTCAACGTATCGATTTCATCTTTTATCGTAAAACTTCACGATTTTGGTGTAGCGGTTCTCGTGTCGTCTTTACAGATAAAATACCTGAACTTGCTGTCAGTTATTCGGATCATTTCGGAGTGGAAGCTACCTTTACACTTGTTGGACGAGACAAGAATGCTGTAATCCCACTTTCGGTATGGGAACAAGGTCAATATGAGCATTTACATGAACTAGATACTCGTACTCTTAAAACTGTTGAAGATATGTTCAAAAAAGATTTAAGTAGATCACAAACATCTTCACGTATACAACTATTTTTCTTTTACCTTTCTTTAATCGTGATCATTGGTTTGGTCGCTTTTGGAGTATTACTTGCTTCAAGTGTCACTTTCTCACAATTTTGGATTAACATAATTATTGTAATGATTATTGGTCCGATCGCGTCTCTTGGTACTGTAATGGGATTACATGGGTTCCTTTTCGGTAATGAAGAGCAAAGTACGTTACAACAATTTATTGAAGAAGTTCAGTCTTATGCTGAAGGAAAAAAAGTTCTTGAGAGTCGTGCGAGCAGTATTGGATTGCTTGATGAAAATGAAAGTAGTCAAAGATCTTCGGCGGCTGCTGATGCGACTCATCAAATTGAAATTGGTTTTAAATCATAACATTTTATAATAATTTTCAAATTAGAGATTTCGTATAATTTAGTAAAATTTTTATTTATTAAGTTCTATTATATTAATTAGTACTGTACCTATTCAAAACACAACCAATAATCAAAAGTGAAGTTTTTCGTAGCATAAAAAAATTTATTAATCCATATATTTATTAAAAATTTTTACATGCATTATTTATTAATTATATGCCAAATAATCATAATTTTCTCTTGCTCAACAATGAGTTCATCATTGCGAAAGTGTAGAGCGCCGACGTTGAGGCAACACTGATTAATTCAAGTTGAAAGAATATGACGCTTTTGTGGAAGCTACTAAATTTATTTTATATGCTAAATTATGTCAAAAAATGGTACTATAATATAATTGTCGCTTCCAAATTTTTTTTTGACGGAACAAATTCATCAAAATCATCAAAATAAACAAAAAAGATTTGTTCTTGAACGCGTTGATAAAATAATTCAACGTCAATCTTCGTTTCAAAACAAATATGTCCATAAGTTTCTCTCTTGTTCTTAAATATATTACAGATTGTTGGAGTGAACAACAAATGGGATGATATCTTTTATTGCATTTTAGTTAAATAGATTTACAAATGCAATAAGTACTAAATTTAGTCAACAATCTCAGGACCTGATTTTATGCAATCATTCTAAATAATCTTTCGTTTTGTGGTTCTAAAAGCACGAAAATGTAAGTGTAAGTAAATGTAGTACGTGAATGTAAATGACGTGAGCGTGAAGTGACTGTGAACGTGAAACAGGCACCTCCATGAATGTTCGTTTCCATAACTGTTGTGAAGTAGGGAATTCATGACCGATTCCTTCCTCCAGAATCAATAGATTTTCAACATAGAAAAACTATCAAGATTTTCCATAGAGAATATAAAATATTTCTCACTTACATGATTCCATTATTAAAAACGTCTTAAATAAAAAAAGCAATTGTAAGTAAATTCAATGATCTTCGATACATATAAATAATAAAATCTTGGATGCGATCGTCCAATCGATAAATATGTTGTGTACCATGTGAAACGTGTGAAACTTACAAACACTAAACATTTTTTAAAACATCATTTTTTTAATTCCTGTTTTTGAAGGTTTGTTATCATGGGCGACTTTTCTGTCCAATATGATCTCACAGGGTTATCCACTCAAAATACAGGTGGAAAGGTTTCGAAAATTCGCTTCGATAATACAAAACAAGAATTTGAAAGTAATGAAGTATTATTTGCTACAGGCTCTTGGGATACACCAAAGGTACCGTATTTGATGCCTTTGCAAAAAAAAAACACTTTTTTTATGTTTATTTACATGCTTTTTACGCGTCTTATAGGAAAATACATTACTATTATGGAATGTTGAACAAAGTTCTTTTGGTTTGAGCGAACAAGCAAACTTCAAATTTTCACTGCTTGGTAAAACAACTCATGAAGGGGACGTTACCGACCTGAAATTTATTGGCGATAATCTCATACTATCATCGTCATCGAATGGATCATTAAACGCCTTTCAATTGGTAAAAGTTTTTTTTTATTAAAAAATTTAAATTTGTGATTGTTAAATGAATTTCTACATGAACTTCTCGTAGATTAATACGAATACGTCCGATATGATGGATTTTTCCGCTGATTCAACGTTACAAAGGGTCATGAGTCGGCAGTTGCATAGCTTTTCTGACATTAGAAATGCATCACTTAATAGCTTTGCGATTAAACCATACAGCATCAATGATCCTCTAGTGGCAACCGTTGGAGAGGATGGAAAAATCGTGATTGTGAGAATTGATGACTCAATAAAAGATCACGTTATAGAAAAGGCTGATGCCTCTTCAATCAAAGCAATTTTGTGGCCCAGATCGAATGAGATTGTACGTTGGATCGAAGTTTTTTTTTATCAAAAAAAATTTGTTTAATTAGAACTCTAACGATACTTGATTTTATAGATCATAGCCAATGGATGTGGGCAATTGAGATTATTTGATCCGAGAGAAAGCAAACTTACAACAATATGCTATGAGTATATATTGATGTGAAATTGTACTATTATAAAGATTTGTTAGTAATGCCTTGTTTTTATATAGTCCCAATAACGTTAGAATTCCAATTAACTGTTTAACGTTTCATCCTTCAAAGGTAAAAGAGTCATTTTGCCTTGTACGGAAATTTTATCGAACGCTAAACATCATCAATCATTTTCCCTTAGATACATAAAGTTGCATCGGGAAACAACAAAGGTGGCGTGACAATATGGGACACGAGGAAATTGTCGGAACCGGAAAAGCACGCCCAGCCACATAAGTCTAGAGGTACAGGACACGAAATATCATATTCCAAAGTATTCCTTTTAAAAAAAAAAAATTTATTTTTCATTGAATTTTTGTAGTGTGGGATTTGTTTTATCATCCATATTATCATGAATTATTGTTCAGCTGTTCAGAAGGTAAATGTTTTCAGTTGACAAGTACATATATTGTTACACAAACTTAATATCTCGTGTTGAATTTATAGACGGAACGATTGGTGCCATTAATTTCGCAGATTCGGTACCTATAAGGAAAATCGGTTTCAGGTCCAATGAGCTTCCCATAAACTCCCTTGATTATCATCCACATTCGAAATTATTGATTGGTGGAGGTGATAATGAAAATTTACTTTATACTCTTATATAACGATAATACATGAAATAAATAAATTACCATAGAAAAAAAAATGTTGGGTGCCACAATGATGTAAAGACCGGTAAATCGACTTGACATGCACGGTAAAAGTATAAAAAAGGGAATAATTTACAATCTTTTATTTTTGGTTTTTTTTTTTGGTTTTCTCATCCTTTGTTTTCTTTTTCCAATCATGACTAAATTTAAATGCATATTGCCACAAGAAGGACATACATTAGAAATAGAAATTACTTCAACAATTAAATATTTGTGTGATATTGAAAAATCTATAAAAGAAAAATATAAACAACATTATTCTAAAAGTACATTTCCGCACCATTATACTTTGTTAACTGTTAGAAAGGATGATGAAAGTGATGATGATGCAGTGATATTTGATTCGAGTTTAAAAATTCAAGATGCCATTAGTACTTTTGGTGAAGATTTGGTGCTGATTTACTACACAAGTATTAATTAATAATTTCAGATTTTTTTTCCTTTAAGTAATAACATATTTCTTTTTATTCTTTTTAATAACATTTGTTCTCGATTCTTTTCGTAGAATGCAATAAAGATGCTTTGCTTTGTGTAAGATTGCCAATGCCAAATTATTCTACAACAAATTATAAGGAACCGTTTATAAGATCGATATATGGCCTATCCCCAGAATCCGTTGAATCCTGGCCTAATTTTTACGAAATTTTACCACAAGAAGAATCCTTTTCTCGAAATTCAAAGCGCTCAATAAATTTGTCATCTTTTTCTCAATCCACAATAACAAATAGAGATGACGTTATTAATGTAATAGAATTAAATATTTTAAGAATTCTAAATAAACTTTATTTTAAGGATTATTATCTTTCATTTGATTCATCCCATTTTGATTGGAGTAAAACGGATAACATAACAAGCTCTTATAATTTCAAAGGTAGTCCGGATTGGTCATTTAGAAAACATGATAACGACGATACGATATTAGTTATTAGTGCCGCCACGAAATGGGAGGTGGATATAAAGGTGGAAGGGAATCTCGAATTGATTTATAATGATGGTTTAAAAAGTATTAAAAAGGGTACGGCGAACGGTTTTACAAGATCACTTGTAACGCAAATTAATCGAATCTTTACTTATTTATCGCTCAATGGACTTCAATACGGAGTTTTGACGACGTATGAAAACACGTGGTTTTTAACTAGACCCAAAAAGAATCCAAATCAGCTTTTAATTTCTAAAAGTTTCTCTCCTAATGATAAACGACCAACTCTACTCAAGATTTTCGCGTCATTCCTACATATGGTTAACAATGATCCATCATCACCAATTAATATGCCCGATTTTTCAATTTCTCCTCAAATTGTGACAAAGTATAATAAAGAAAGGTATGATGATATTTTCACAAATTTTTTTTTGTTTTTTTTTTTTTTTGTTTTTATTATAGAATTCTAAAATATAACAAAAAAAAAAAAAAAAAAATTCATAGAATTAAAATATCAAGGCTACTACAACTTCTCGTACGTTTCATTATTAAAATCATATCTAGTATATTACCCAAAAATTCAACAATTTCAACCAAATATCTGAAGATTAATGGAAAATGTTTAGGGAGCGCAAGGATGGGAGGTGTGTTTATAAGTTCTTATAAAGGTGAAACCATTGCACTAAAGTTATGTGACATTTCAAAGCATCCGGAATTATTAGGTGAAATGCAAAAGGAAGTTGAATGTTATCAACGGATGAAAGATATACAAGGAACTTACATACCAAAACTGATCTGTAACGGGTATATTCTAAATGACATGTTTTATGTCATAGGGACTTCATACGGTGGAAAACGTATGAATGAAGGAGACGATGAAGGATATGGCGTCATAACACGAGATGAATATGATCTTGCCATTAAAACATTGGATCAAATTCACGCGCATGATATTATTCATGGGGACATTAGACCTGAAAACATTTTATTTGACGGGCAAAGGGTAATTAGGATTATCGATTTTGGATTTTCAAAAATATCATCAGATGAGAAAGAAAAAGAGGAGGAAAAGGAAATTTTAAGATCGTTATTAGATCAATTTTTTCACGAGTATTGATCAACATTTCACAACCCGATAATAAAACATCTGATCATCTGACCATCCGATAATCATTCTATTTTTGGTATTTTAAATAAAATGTTTTGAACGTTTTTCGATTTACAACCTTTCATTAATTCAAACTTCGAGATATTTTCGATATTCCTTTACCTAAAATAAGCTACGATTCGAAAAGACAACCTTCAAAAAGTCAAACGACACCACGCTCTAATAAAATGAATGGTCTTTATGCACCAGAGCAAATTTCACTTTGGGAAGATTTCGATGAAGATTGTAAAAAAGTTTTAAGAATTGAAAAATACGGAAAAATACTTAATAGAAACATTGACGAGCCAGAAATCGATATTGATGACCCATTAAATATCAAGACGGAAAAAGATCTTTATGAATTATTTGAAGATGCCGTAAATATATATTTAAAGGAGTTTCTTTCACATATAGATGAATCATTTGAGATTTGGGATGAAAAAAAACTACCAAAGTCAGGTTTCACACCTGATTTTACAATTTCTAGAGGTATAAATGAAGGTTGTTTATTGCCTATAGAAGTAAAAATCAAGCATGTATTTGAAAATATGAAAACTGAAATTCATACTTTATATAATGAAAAAATAGAAAATTATGTTAAAAATCGTAAGGAGGTCAATAAACCAGACATAGTGCCACCAATTTTACAAACTTACAAATATATGTTACAAGAAGGATTTTTTTATGGAATATTAACTACATATGATTGTACTTGGGTACTTAAATTTGAAGTTGATCAAGACAATTCGGATGTTGAGAAGGTTTTTATTAGTAGACGAATCGAAAACCATGAATTGGTTAAAATATTAATATGTGTACTTTTATTTATTTTTCAAGATGAAGAACGGGAAAGGAAATTCAATTTTAAGTTGGAAGGTTGTAAGAGACTTAAAATCAAAGTATAAATAAATTCAATAAAATTCATAAATTATGATTGGGAATTTAATAAAACAGAAATCTGATTAATCTGATAAATTAAAAAATTCTTCCTGTGAATTTGCTAAACTGATTCAAGAATCATATCATCATCTTCCTTATTATCTTTCCTTATCTGTACTTTTATACAATGAAATTCTCAATTTTGACAAGTATCTTGGTATGAATGACGTGTGAATAATTTTGAATTGATTATGGCGCGTAGCACCAAACCACAGCCTCATGCGATAAACGTTTACTACTCTCACGGGTTAATTTTGCTAGAACTCTTTCATAATAAATAATTCCAATCTTTAGGAACATCCTAAATATTCGGAATTCCGAAACTTATTATAATACTAACCTGAAAAAAAAAAGTTATTTTTGAACGATCATTGTTTATTTGACGTCGCATGAATTGTTTTATTTTTTTAAAAAAAAAAAAAACAAAAAGGATTCTCCCGGTAATGTATCGATCTATCATTGTTTAAGGGATCACACCTTTTCCGAGAAAAATTTTGTAAATTAGGAATTTTATTTTAATAAGACATCATTTTTTTTTTTTTTTTTTTTTCAATTTGATTTCGATTTTTTACTGATGCAAATCTCATGAATTTTATGATATTCTGTATCTCCTTGTAATGATCCCTTTTTTGTTTTTTTGGAAAAAAGCGGGGATCAGTTTACCTAAAATCCCTAAATGTAGGTTTTCCGTGTCGATCTAAAATAATTCTTTTTTACTTTATGATTTACCATATTTAAAATAATTATTTAATAAATAAAATAATATATATAAAACCCCTTAAATTTTCTGCAGCTTTAAATTCTTTACTCTTTTTTTACTACTTTCAGCCTAGAACTTTACTTAAAAGACCTATAAACCCGCTCTTTTTTTTTTTTTTTTCTTTTTACCTTTCCCACTTATTTGTGATGTGTCCAATCATGAATGATAAATAGATCGGAAAAAGTCGCAGCAAATAAGCAATAAACTTTCCCTAATTATTTTTTTTTTTTTTTTACTATAGAAACACAAACCTGCAGAGTTCAGGTTGTATTCTATTTTTTCACTTTCCCACACAATCCAATACGCCATAACCCGTTTGAACTTACCAATAATATCCTTAGAACCTAAAAAAAAAAAAAAAAATTTCACAATATATATATCATATAAAAATTTAGTAGTCAGGATGAACACGGTTAAAAATTCATTTTTTTCAAAAGGTTCACCAAAAGAACAAGATTTCGAATTTTTGAAACGCCCACACACGAGGCAGGAATCACAAAATCTTTCAAAAATCGCTTATAAACTTAGTAAAAAAATTTCATTTGGATCATTTAAATACTCGTTAGATAATCAAAAAAAAATGAACAATAACATGAAAAGGAAAATCGACAAAATAGAGAACCATGATCCTTCCAACCTTTCACATAAGCGTTCTGATACACCGATATCTGGTTACTCATCGTCTGATGATGAGTATGGCGCTTCCGCTACCCAACCTCTTATATACAATGATGCTGTTTCAATACAACTTCATCAGCCAAGAAGTGATATGGCAACTGGTGGTTGGTGTCATTTACATGGATAATGTGTTCACTTGTGTTGGAAAAAGTTCATTCATTAATTATCATCATTTTCATTTTTATTTTCATATTGTAAAGACATATCACAGGTCTTAATTTTCTACACGGGTGGTACTATTGGTATGAAAAATACAAATAACCATGGATATGTTCCAGTAAGTTGTTGGTCGAATCATCAAAAATTTTTATATGATTTTTTAAAAATTTTTTTTTTCTTTTTTTATTGTCTTTACCTTTAAGGTGCCTAATTTCCTCACAGATAATCTTGCTGGAATGTCTCGATTTCATGATCATACATATTATCCAAGCTTCCGTCGCTTTATCTTGGATAATAATGACCTATCCGAAGAAGAAACTCATCCTACTAATAAAGTTATTGTTAACGATTTGACCAAAGATCCACCAGAACAAATTGAAACTGTTCGACGTTGCTTGATAACTCCACCTTCTTTAGTAGGAAAAAGAATAAGGTAAACATTATTGCGACAAAAAAAAAAAAAAAAAATTTCTTTTTTTTGATCTTTCGAGATTAATCATTTGACAAATTTTAGGTATTCTGTAATCGAATATGAACCCCTGTTAGATTCTTGTAACATGTCTAGTGATGGTATGTTTTGTCTTTAATATATTTAAACCTTTACCATTCGAAGGTTTTAGTTCATTCAATACTTTCTTTTTAATTTAGATTGGATACGTATTGCTACCGATATCGAACTAAATTACGAGTCATACGATGCCTTTATAATATTGCATGGTTAGTACCTTTCTTGAAATGGGCAATTCAAGCAAAACATAACGAATATTTACGTTTAATTTATCTATAGGAACGGATACAATGTCGTATACTGCAAGTGCTCTCAGTTTTCTATTAGAGGATTTAGGGTATATATCGTCTTATCTATAGAATCCTTTTGATCAATGTTATACACTTCTAACCAATATACCTCGTTTCTATAGCAAAACCGTCATATTAACGGGTTCACAGGTATGAAGAACCGCAATTTTCACTGTCACTTGTAGAACAGAAAAATCCAATAGTGACTCAAAACGTATATGTTCTTTACCTCCTTTTAATTCATGTAGCCTCAAAGGATATGTTTCTAATTTCCTTTTTCCTTTTTTGTATAAAAAAAATGGATGATAGGTTCCATTGTCTGAAGTTCGCAATGATGCCATCGAAAACCTTCTGGGTGCACTTACAATTGCTGGCCATTATGTCATACCGGAAGTTAGCTTGTTTTTCAACAATAAACTTTACCGTGGAAATAGGTCAGTGAAGATGAATGCGGTTGAATTCAATGCATTTGATTCACCAAATTTAGCTCCGTTGGCCACGGTTGGGATAAATATAGGTTAGGGATCCAGCTCACATGTCAAAATTTTTTTATGATAGCTATTGTAGTGCTAACCTTACTTCATTCTGTTCTTTTAGATGTCAATTGGGCCGAGATCGTGAAGCCATCTTCGATTGCAAAGTTTAAGGCACATAAAGCTCTAAATCGAAATGTGAGTAGTTTACGATTGTTTCCCGGTATAACAGAGTCAACCGTGAAAGCATTATTGGCAGAGCCGATAGAAGGAGTAATTTTAGAGACATATGGAGCCGGAAACGCGCCTGATACTCGGAATGATATAATGAAAGCCTTGGCGTCCGCTAGTGATAGGGGTGTTGTTATTGTAAATTGCACACAATGTAAAAAGGGAGTTGTAACCGATCTATATGCTACCGGTAAAGCCCTTCGTAGGGTTGGTGTTGTTTCAGGGAATGACATGACCCCAGAGGTAGGCATTCAATTTTCCATCGTTCAGATAAATGGTTTAAGTTTTTTTTTTTTTTATTTATTTTATTTTATTTGATAGTGCGCACTGGTTAAACTGGCGTATTTACTTGGTGAATTTGAATCCGGAAAACGTTACCCACCTAAAGTGGTACGTGAATTAATGACCAAAAATCTCCGTGGAGAACTTACAGTTGTAGCTCCAAAGCCTAGATTTACCTTTCATAATCGTACCCATAAAATTATACAAAATATGATATGTAAGTTGATTTTTTTTTTCCCTTTAAAAAAATTATACTCATTGCATTTCATTAATTCATAACCCTTTTTGATTGTTTAGTCGCTGCTGCCGATGCAAACCAAGCGGCCGCAACAGATACTTCACTGATGATGAATGTGCAAGAAAAGGTTTTAATGGAAAAGTCTTTATATCCGATTTTGTTGTGTTCTGCTGCTGGAACAGACGATCTGGACGGAATGTTGTTGTTATCGGAGAATTATGAAGGGATGATGCTAATGTTGAATTGTATGGATTATGATGGAAGAACTCCATTGGTAAGTGAACTTTTGAATCTGAGTTTATTTAAATCATTTACGTGTATTAAATTTTTCGTTCTTGAAGCACATTGCATGTACGGGAGGGCATCATCGAATAGTGAAGTTCTTATTGCAAAATGGAGCATCTGTTCACATGAGGGATAGATTTGGACATACGCCTCTGTATGAGGCTGCACGTAATAAACATAAGTACGTAATTAACACATTACGTGAAGCAGGAGCTCATTTCAATGATGCAGAGATTGACGATGTAGTATTTCAAGCATTATCGTACGTTTCTATTATTAATTGAGGTAGTTTAATGATATTTTTAAGTACCAACTAACTTATCATTTTGGAAAAAAAAAAAAAAAATAGTGCTGCTGCGAAAGGCGATGTCGAATTGCTTAAACATTTTGTTGATGCCGGGATAGATATAAATCGTACCGGATTTGATCATCGTACGGCCCTACATCATGCAGTAGCCGAAGGTTGTCTAAATACTGTTCAATATCTTTTGTCCTTACCTGATATAAATACAGAGACTAAAGATAGATGGGGAAGAAAACCAATTGATGATGCTGAAATGAATCTTGGTAGAATGTGGGGAAGGGATAATGAAACAGAAAAACAACTAAGAGAAATCGTTAGATCGCTGAGGGAAAAAACCGATTATGTGGTAGATGAAGCTATCGTGAGAAGAAATACATCATCACAACATGAAGATCTTGGACCACATCACTTAAACGGGGTGAATGGAGTTGTGATTGTAGTTAACGGCGATACGGTAAACGTGTAAATAAATGATATCTGAAGGGGATAAATATAATTACACACGATTCATGAACGAAAAAAAAAAAAACAGTTTGCAATAAATTTTTCTTTAATCACAAAATTGAGTAGAATATTTTTTTTCAAGATATAATTTTTTTTTAGAAACTTTAATTTTTTTTATTAATATATAATAATATAATAATAATAATAATAATAATTGCATAAATATGCTGGATTGGATGTGTTTTGAAATAAAGTAGGAATCTTTTAATTTAATTAATGATTTTTTAAAATTTTGCTTTTTTTTATCATTAATA